TGGCAACCCCAACTGGCCGCACATGGAACCCGTCTTTCAGGTCACCAATGTGAGGAGGCACTTTTTGGCTCACTCAGTGGCTGAGGCTAGCCGGCGGGGGGGGGGGGGTCAAATCTGGGACCTATCTTGTATTTGGGCAAAGTTGTGCCACTCCTTTGCCAATTGAGCTACATGCAACATTAAATTGGTTGTATTGTATAGTATCCTTAGGAAATGAATCGTCCAAACAAACCCAATAAATCTCACGCGAGGATGTGCGCAGATTTTGCCTCTACCCCAGGGGGTAAAGAGGCTGTTTCCATGTCTTATGGTAAACTTTTATTGTTTTGATCAATTTTTTTCTTTGATATCAGATTCCAGGAAAACTTCTGGCCAGAAATCTTATGTGTCTAAGGTTTATGGTGGATGACTAGCAATATGGTCTTTTCTGATAACCAACCTTTTAAAATTCTATTAATTTGATGAGTCTTGTCTTTCGTATCAGTATCCCATCATGCTTGTTTAAGTTTGTGTTACATGCTGACATGCATAACTGCCTAGAGACATGATGTTTCATTGTGGTATAACTTCAAATCAAGTATAGCAATTGATAATTTGATGAAGTAACATCACCCACTTTTACGAAAGCGTAGTTGGGTTATAGTGTGGCATTCAAGACTTTGTGGCGAGGACAGGTATGCGTACATCTCACCCCTCACCAATCCGATATAAAAGAAAACAATGCTTAAAATACTCTTTGGGGTTAGAGGACATGTATATGTACGCCCCCACCCCTCCATCCCTAGACCCCGCCTTTGGGTGGGATATACTTGGCTCGTTTGAGAACTCCAGCCAAAGCATTGGTGGAAGACAACCAGAAAGCCATTTTATTCAGAGGCCTGCCAATGATTGAAAATCCAGATCAACTTGAATATATACTGATACTTAGAAGTTAGAGCATATCTAGTAATGGAAGAGTTCATATAGGTTCTTTTTGTCCCTACTTGTAACATATGTAAGTCCACACATAAATTACTAAGGCACTCGCATTTAACTGTAATTAACTGGAAGTTGTGGTATTGTTCCTTTTTTATTTCCTGTTCTATGCTTTATAGAATCATATGACTTTTAAATTTCTACTTGGAGTAACAAGTATCACATTTTGTGATGATATAGTTGTGACTACTGAATACGAAAGGCAATGGAAGATCAGCGATCTTTCAATAGCCCTAGAAGGACCCTTAGTTATTCTAGAAACAGGGGAGCAACCATCTCCGTTTTTGAAGCAGACAACAAGGCTTCTGGTGTTGCTGTTTCGGGAGAGCATGGTCCTAACCCTTCGGAAGTTTACGGGTTTGTAGGATCCATTTCGACTGTTGTTGCTACAGGTGCTCATCTTCTTTTACACTTGTCAATAAATGTTTTCCTTTTTATCAAATTTAAGAGCAATAATCTACACTAGTACCTTCAGGGTGCGTTTGGACTACTAGACATGATGGTACATGATAGAATACAAACTTATCGTCCCATGGTTGGCGCGACATTAGACTGGGATAAGATGGGACTGATTGGTAAATTACCAAACCACCCATGTCAAATTAAAAACCCTAAAACCTTGCACAATCTTTTCACATGCCCACCTCACTCTTATCCAGTCCCGTCTCGTCTGCACACCAAACGCACCCTCGAAGTATTTGACAAAGTGAGACAATATTACTCGGTCACATGAAAATTGGAATATTTTATGGGCCACATGGTTTTGTACATGTGTTTCGTCTATTTCTTGTTTGTCGTAAGCCTCTTCCATTGGGAAAAAAGGCAATTCAAGGTCGAAAACTCGTCAGGAAGTGTTGCAATAGTTTCTAGAAAGTTCCTCTTTTCTCAAAATTTATGTTGGGTTTGTTTTTTAGCTTGCCTGACTAGTCCAAAACAAAACTATCGTTGTTAATGTCATAGGTATTGGTGTTTAGAGGATTCTAATATTATTTTCCGATGCTGTACCACCAGTTATATTCATGGCATGGGCCTATGTTCCTGATCCTTGGTTGCATTCTATCGGGATCTTCTACTATCCAAGCAAGTACGTGTGCACAATTCCCTTTAAATCATAGCTTCGGGTTTGCTCTCAATCAGTAGTTCTCATTTTAGCTTTTCATTACATCTTGAAAACTGAGATGATATCATATAAATGTCCGAAAGAAAGATGGTGAGCTTATGAGTGACTTGATGCCAGAATACATGCATACCCCTATCCCTATATACAGCAAAAACCTACACATTATGCTCACCTCTGGTACAACTTGAACCCTTAACCTCTAGGAGGTTGTTTCCATGCCGAGCTTTTTAAGGCCCGAGCTCGTTTGGACATTTTCAGAAAAAAAGGGTCTGATCGGGGATTTAAACCTGGCAGGGCCCGGGCTATGGCTTTTTTGTGCATCTCTAACGTTGGATCTACTAGGAATCTGGGTACTGCTGGGCCAACGACGATTTGGTTATGCAATCTAACTTTCGCCTTTCAGGTACTGGGCATTGGCGCTTCCGGCTTATGCCATTGTGACAATTGCATCGATCTTTCTATTCTACATCGGCCTCAACTTTATGGCAACTCCACCTCAGACATCCTTGAACTCGATATTTGGTCGGTTAGTTTTTCTATGCATGATAAAGCAATGAGTAGCTCGAGTTTCATTTGCTCGATTTAGACCATCCGACTTGAGCTCGAACTCGAGTTTCTACTTGGCTTGACAAGAAACTTTTCACAGACATATTCAAGCTTGTCGGAAATATAGTTTTTAACAGATCGTAACCTACTCCATTCCAACTAAAGAAATAACGGCTCGTTTAATTTGCGAGATTTGGAATCAGATTCCATGTTTGGTTTAAAGGAAATTTGGAATTTAAATCCTACAAACATTGGATTTAAAAAGCTCATGGGGTAGTTGGTATTTCATGGGATTTCATAGGATTTGTCTGTAATAATATTTTAAAATACGTTAATAATCAATTAATAATATGTACTTATAATTATTTTTATATAATTATTTTGTAATTTGTTTTTATAAATTATGTATGAAGAAAGTAATTTAATTCTATTCCAAATCCTACAAACCAAACAAGTGAAAGATTCCAAATCCTCTCAAGAAATCCAAATCCCTCAAAAAACTCCGTCCGATCAAATGCCCCCAGGGAATAGTGATTTGCCTTTGGTTACGTTTTAAGTTAGCTGGATTGTTCATGTAACGAACTAGGATGATTCTAACGAGTCGAGTTCCACCCTGAAAGACCTTAGGCTCGTAATCTAACAAATCAAATTAAAAGAAAAAGAGCTCAGTGTTTGTTTGAATTGGTTTATGTTCTTGTAATCATTAGCATGTTTTTTGCAGATGAACACAGCAGAGAACCCGTGTGCTCTGATCGTGCGTCGGAAGAAGATGATCAACCCATCGAGCCTTACTCTGATATCGGCATCGACCAAATCAATGAACTCATGTTCAAAGATTGACCAAATATGGTGATTGTTTCAAGGTGTATGATGCTGCACAGGAAGAATTTTCTGAACTTAAATCGCAATTTCAACAGCTAACTCTAAAATAAAGTTTTTGGAGAATTAGAGATTATTTTGTTCTAACAGCTACTCTATTTTAAAATACAGAGAGAAGATACATATCTTCAAATTTGTAGAAATCCTTAAAACTCAATTGTTTTCATCAATGAGGTTGAATGTATTATTATTTTTAGGGTTAAATGTATGAAATAGCAACATACTTTCATAAATTTTCTTATTATAGCATTCTACTTTTGTTTTTCTTTATTACAACAATGAACTGTCAAATTATTTTTTATTAAGGCATCGACCGCACTTTAAAAAATCTATTCATTATAACAATGGATAATTTATAGTATAATTAATATTGGAATTTTTAAAAGAGCAAACTTTCACTTTTGGTCTCTAACATTTGTTAACTTCAATTGATATTGTCCCTAAACTTCAAGAACTCGGATTTGGTCCCTATTTTTTGAGAAGTTTGAAAGCACGTTATACATTCTTCTTCTTTAATCTTTGTGATTTAATGTTCATTGTAGAAAAAATAGACTTGAATAGTCTTATTCATAGACAATGGTGCATTTTGAATAGGCACTATATAAAACGGAAAATATTAACCACAAGGATGGTGTCTGATTGGTTATAGTTTGGCTCCAAAGATCAAAAGTACCAGAAAGTTTCAGGTTCAAATTCAAGGAAGAATAAAAATCCTCTTGTGGCCACGAAAGTTGAAATGAGATGACTCCGGCCTATTTGCAAAACAGGTGGTTGTCTTGGAATTAATCGGCTCGCATAACGAGTTAGATATCCAAGACAGCATATATTCAGACTGAACATAGAAACTATATCAAAATATACAGCTTGGTTTCCTATTACAGAGGGTATACAAATTACTTTTCTAAAGACCGTCAAACTTTTTTCCGTTAAATAAATTAAATGAGGGATATTTTAGTAATTAATTTATAAAAAAAATAGATTAATTCCATCTCCATCCACTCCCTTGCGACCATCGTCCACCACTCTGCAACTCCAACCCCGCCTTCTTTTGTGTTATTTTCCCCTTCCATCACCAAGGCGTACCTGCAACTCCATCGATCCATCACCGTAGTAGTGGTGGCTAAATCGGCCCAACCCGGCCTGGGACCGCCAGAGGCCCGGGACCGGTAATGACCGGTTATGGGATTGAAAACCGGGACCGGTTGGGGTTTTTGGTAGTTTCGTGAGACCGAAAATTCAAATAATTTTATAAATAAATGTATTTTTAAATAATTTTATAATGTATTATTTCTATAAGACAATGTAATTTTAATTATATTAAAACGTATTTTTAAAGTATATTTGAGTGACCTAATTGTAAATTTTATAATGTATTAAAAATATATATTATCAAAAAAAATTTAAAAAATGCCGGAACCGGCGGCCTATAACCGGTTGTGAAGTACCTTGATCGGTCCTACCATCTTCGACTGGGACCGGTTATGAGAAAGCTTGAGACCGATTAGACTGAGTACCTGTTTTTGGCCATCACTACCGTAAATCATAACCATGTCTGGTCATAGATCATTTTCGAAAACCGTATCATCAGAAGCTATGCCGGAAAATAAACATATGCAACCCATGATGGTTTTCTATGTGGATAGCAGCGATGAGGGATACACAACGGTTGTTGTATTGCTCCTTTGGTTTCTATTTATTATCGTTCTTAGATTTGATTATTAAAGTTTTTTCTATTGAGGAACATGTTTTGTGAAACATCAATCGATCTATGTGGGAAATCATCTTTTTAATACGAAGCCACATTTTTCCGGGTTAATGTTCTATTTATTGGGCTGTCTCTCTGTATTGGGTTAGCCCAGTTTGTTTTTTTAGATTGCTTGAAATAAGGCCCATGCCAAGAGTCAGTCGTATGAGTTC